TGTTTGAAAGGTTTTCTTCCATAAAATTAATCGATTCTAGACTAATTCGACTCAACATTTCCAAAATACGTATAATTTTTTGGGAATAATCCATATAAACTATGCTATAAACAAAAAATTGTAGGATTACTTACCGAGCGTGCACCGTTCGACGACGCCATTGCTTAAGCTTGTTTTCGTCGTGGAGCTTGTCATCGAATGACGCTCGCGTGCTTCCTGATAAATTATTTTTTTTGCGAAAAATTTGCTGAACTTTGGAGACATCATTAATATAAATATAATTTTCATGGACGTTAAATAATAAATGGTTTTTAGTAGGTTCGCTGCTCGTTTAAACTCAACGGTTTGAACAATATCCGCTATTGGTCTAGATTCAACCAATCCTGTCACAACATAAGTCGGCGATGACGTTTTACCGAATTACACGAGTTTTTTAGCATGTTTGTACGAATACTGTCGCAATTTTTTCGCTGTGATATAGGAATCCGAACTATAGGAGCCCGTGTTATAGAGGGTCGACTGTATATTCGTTGAATATTTTTGATCATTTTTGTGACAAGTGATTACAATCATCATTATTATTTTGCATGCTTCATATATCGCTTTACTTGCATATTTTATTATTCTGACTGCGTAAAATAGAAAATTAATGTCTGTGAGCAATTAAGGCTGATTGTAACCACTTTGGTTACTCAGGCGATTAAGCAGATGGCATTAAAAATGTAATATTGTTACTGGGGGAAGATTCTTTTCTAAAAATTCTCGGAAACGGAAGTAAATTGGTTCTATCTACTTCCGTTTCTGGGAATATTTGGAAAAGAGTTTTTCCATAGAAAAAGTATTACATTTTTAACGCTATGACGCTGGAGTTTGCGTGCATAACCAAAGAGGTTACACTCAACTTAAAATAAAAAAATAAATGAATAAATATCAATAATTAATTGTTCGCATAAAACAATAATCGTACATTAATATTAATAAATTTTATTGGTGTTTTGCTATTATTGGGTTGCAATTTTTAATTGCTGAGTTGTACTGTAAATTCCCACTTTCGTCCATCTGTCCTTTGTTAATCTCGAGAATGCAATTAGATAATTAAAAATCCGAACTAGGTATAAAGGCTTAGGGGTCAGAGATCCCGATTAACTATATATCAACTTCCGATCACGCGATTCCCATTTAAAATGGTTACCTTATTATATAGAGCGATAAATTTGACATAGAATAGATCCTTACGATAAACTGAGATCAGTAATATATCATTCGACCTTGTAAGGTGTACAATATTCACGTGCTCTAATATTGTCTGATAAAAGTCACGTGAAAAATAATATCATCAGAAAGAAAAAGTAATTACAGTTTCATATTCAACGTCAAAAGTTATATTTATTTAAATTAAAATATGATTAAAAATTTGCAGCCTGGCATTTAGACGATGTCACAATAAATATTAAAAATTGAAATTACTTAAAGTTTTCGTTGATTTACAGAGGCGACTTTCTCAAATTTATAAAGCTCCGAGATCTCTTCATACAGTAAATATTCTGTAATTTTTTTCTATTTCAAAACTCCACTTTTTGAAGTTGTTTCGTGGAACAAATAATATTCGAAAAGCGTGAGAGAGGCGAATTAAATTTCTGGACTGATAGGGAAATGGAACAACTACAAATAAATCTCTTGAATGGTAAGAAATTTCTGTAAATGTCATTTGTTATTTTGTTTACATAAGTCCTTCGTGGATAAAATATATTAAAAATTTAAGCATTGATACTTAGTATAATAATGACTTTTCTTTTGAGAGCTTCTGCATATTACGCTATTATTTATTTATGACGATTGCTATTAAATATAATTATTAAAATTATTGATTATCTTTAATGAATTTATTTCTAGCATAATTAATTTTTTAAATAAAATAAAAGTGTCATCTCTGAAAGATATGAATTTAGATTTGTAATTAAAATATTAATTTTTTATGATTTAGGTATCAACATCCTTAATTAACCAATATCTCTTGTATATCAACATCTATCAGTTTAATTATCCCTCAGGTAACAAAATTATTAAAAAAATAGTAATTTGGGAATTTCATATTTGATATCCTCTTATAGTAATTTGAAACAGAAATGGTATCAATTATATTTATTAATATCAAAATTGATTAATTTCATTATTGGTTACCGTTCCAAAACAAGTTTGTGAAATTAAAAATTCAAATTTACAAAAATATAAATCCAAGAAGAATAAATAGTTTTATGTAGTAAACAGAAAAAGGCTGAATTGCTTTATCAATGCAGATCTTTTACAAAGAGAAAAATGAGAAAAGCTTTCCGCGCCATATTTAATCTAATTATTAAGTAATTTGTTCAACTGTTATTTATAAAACAAAAATAGGTTGACCACCAATCATCCGACACCTATTTAAAATCTGGACAGAATTTCGGGACGATCAACGTATTCACTAAATGGCCACAGATGAAATTGAGTGTAGTGTGTTTTCACTTGGATTGTATACATTACAATTGTTGTGACCCCTCTATTTTGTGCGATTTTTTGCTCTTATATTATATAAATATGTTTATTTTGATGCAGACCAACATCAACTGTAAGTATTGTATCATCCCTGACATCATGAGGCTTAATCGTGAGAACGCTTTTCATTGGCTGAAAAAGTCTAATGCAGCAATGTATCCGATGATTCTATCAACCATTAGAATATAAATTCGTGCGAAGACGGTGCGCTTTTGTAAGCAAAACGGAAAGTTTTCGACAGTTAGCATCATGCAAAAAATTTGGAACTGTTGATTTGAATGCTGAAGGTTTATCCTCCCGTGAAATAGCGCAGATTGCACTAACATCAATCAACAATTGAGCGTTTGTTATACAGGAGATGTAAAAATATAGTAACATTTAAAGGAAAGCTTAATCAGGAGGTAAATATGCTATCAGGATAGAATGCTAAAACGTCTCAACCCTCCAGAACGTAGTGCAAGCTCTTCTCAACCAGGTTAAATCTAAAGAGCAGAATGGCTTAAAGTAAGTGCATCGTGTAACATCGCCTGGGCAGCATGAGTTTAAAAGCCATGTAAAAAGTCATTACTGACTAGTAAAAGGTACAGAAGTGGTTTATCTGGACTAAACAATCAACTGATTTGAAAGTTGATGTAAGGGATACTATTACGTTTTCGAATTAACCCAAATTTTACTTGCAAAGAGCTGATGTAGAAAAAAAGTTAGGTGTAGTAATGGCGAATCCTACAATAGAGATTAGCTACTTAAAGCAGACAATAAACCTTCCGATAATTCAATGTGAAAATACATATTCAGCAGATTAAGCTTTATAAATTTGTCTGTAAATGTAGTGTTCAGAAAATTCTTATCTATCAAGCTAAAATTCCAACAATCAAGAAACTATTTTGTAATACAAAATCTTGCATTTTCACTCTACCGCATGTCAGGGCGTAAAGATGGTGAGTAAAATATATGTGCCTTTCTTGACAAGTTGTTAGTATTATCGTCACTTAAAATGATACACAAACTCTTGCTTGGTTAAAAAACAATTCCGACACGTGACCCAGATCAAATGCTATGTCTTGATCTCGACTCTGTTGAGAACTATTGACATATTATAAGTACAAAAATTTCAAAGAAGAAACTTGAAAATAAACTGAAACTGCAGAAGTATATTAAAAGTTTAGTATCACGAGCTTGGTAGAGAATACTTAAAGAAACTCGTCTACTCTAAGCTAGAGAGCTGCAAAGCTCAAATATGTTTCTTTGCATATCTCTTTAACGCTATTTGGATTATATCATAGATAATGCAATTTCCATGCTCAGTACTATAGAAGTCATAACAGAATTGTAGGAAGGGAAAAGATTGTCCGGCTCATAAACGAAGAATGGTTGCCATAATTATGACCATAATCTATTTTCATTATAAAGATTTAACTTTTAATTCTTACCTAGTTATTTCAACTTTTCTAATTTCTAAATCTCCCTGTATAAAGGTTTATGTGTTGCTGAGAGTGAGAGAAAGCAATATCTTAGGGATAACACTTTATCCTACGGAAAAGTCTATTGGTTTGTTCCGATAGTTTGTTCTAATTTCAAAGTCACGCTACCGGGTAATTTAAACTAGAATTGTATTCGTAACGTTGTTAGCATAAAGTGGTCCGAACCTGTTCCTAAAACTTTGTTTGATTAGGATTAAATATAAGAAAAGAGCAAGTGTCAGCAATATCAAACGTAAATCACCAATCGGTACTTAATATATGCTTAAATCAAGATTTTAGAAGTTCATAACGCTTTAGTAACATAGAACAAATATAATTAATGATCCAGTATATACGTTTTGAGTTATCACGAGTATTATGTGATTTTGGTTTGATCTGGAAAAACTGTTAATCCTGCAAAGCTTTAGAACCAAGGATGACAGAAAATCGAAGGGAAAAAAAGTTTATTTCTCTTAATAGGACTTTTTCCAACAAACGTTATCACTAAGTAGAGTTCATTTATTGGATGAGACTTTAAGTTATTTATACAGATTACACAAGTGACTTTCTAGTAGGAAAAAAATCTAGTAGTGAGAATATGTCAGATAATTCCTAATTTATTTAATTTCTATGATTTTATTTATTCTCATTTATAATATTTGTATTTTATTTAACCAGTTAAGCAATATGTATTAGTTGTATAATAAAACTATCCAAAATCCAATAACATAATTCTAAATTTAATTTTTAATAACAGTGGAAATATACCTGTTTATTAATTACTGTTTTAATGTTATCTTACTGTCAATTTGTAATCCTTGCTTCTGTATTCATAATCAAGAATTAGAGTCAGGAATTAGTCAATTACTTTAGGAAGTAAGTAAATTCTTATTGCTTACCTTCTGACTAACTTGTTACTATTTTAAAACAATAATTGAGACATTACACATATAATCATATTTATGAGATTGATCTAATTTACATAAATAACAACAAATTTGCATCTACAGGGTGTCCAAAAAGTTTCCATACATACAAAGGTAAAATATTAACTTTATTCACAAGACATTAGAATGTCTGCGTTAAGATTTCTATCAGTGGATTAATGGAGTAAGGCAAGGAACTAAACACATGGGTGATATGAAAATGGGGTAACTTCTAGCAGGACTTCCTATGTGGAAACTGGATTCTGTTTAAGTGTAAGACAAGTTAGACACATGAAGAAAACCCTAAACACAGCATGGTGACCAGCCCATTGGTCAGGCACGAACCAATAACAAACTACCAGTGTTCAATGGTTTTATTTATTCGGCCATTGGTGGGCTTGATTTGTGTCGCTGTGTGGACACTTTTGGGACACCCTGTACAATATTATAAATAAGTTTTATCTCTACACTCAAAATACAAAAAGACTAAAAGTTTTTACAGGAAACTAATTTTCAGAACATTGAAAAATCTATTTAAAGTCGAGTTTCGAATCTAAAAATATTCCAAAAATTATAAAATAATTATACGCTAAAGAACATTCAAATTATTTTCGAAGCTAAGTTATTATTTTCAATTAAAAATAAATACATATTTGTTTTTAATAACTGGAAATTATTTAAGAAAAAAATTGAAATATTAAATGTAAAATGCATTTTTAGTATTTAATTTATTTCACTTGGTTATATCGAGGAAAGTTACTGAAATTTAAAAAAAAATATTATATGTGTAAATACAAAACTAATATTAGAAAATTCCAATACAAGTTAGCGAATAAAAAAATAAATAATCGTTAAACGAAATTTTATCTGCTAACTTTCAATTCGAATTTTACTTTCCACTAAATTTCTTTTTTACAATTGCAATGGAAGAAAGCAATCTTTCTCAGCTTTAATATTTCTTATTTCGCTCGTAATTTAAGATATCCACCTTTTTCTTGGATTCTGTCAAGGGAAAAAAGAATATTTTTCCTTTAAAATAGAAGAATATTACTAGGTGATGTTTGGGTAAACAAGACCATTCAAGTTATTATCAACTCATTTAAGTTTTAAATGAATTAATGACTTCAGAAACTGAGCCAAACTAATAAAAACATATTAATAACTTCTCTATGAAAATTAAAGCGTTGGAGAAAAATAAATATGAAGAAAAATATAAGTTAATATTCTAACACTTTTACTATCCCCGAAGCTAATTCTGAATCTCTCGATCAAACATAATGAAAATCTAAAAGTTCGAAAGAAAGTTTTACAGTTACGTCAGTTTGACAAGAAGTAAACATGCAAATTAAAATATCTTTAAAAACTAAAATTAATTATTTAATATTAATAAAACCATTTGTTTGTAAATATATTATAAACTAGCAATTATTTTATTGTAACATCGGCATAATACTGGGCTGCAATTTTTAATCACATTTTTAATTAATTAAATAAATATTAATTAATACCTTTAATATATAACCTATAGGTTATTCTTTCTATACTTTCTAACCTTAGGTTAAGTCATAAATCACAGTATAATCAAAACTACTGAAATTTCCCGGACTATTTTTATGTCATTAAACAAATAATTAAGTAAAAATTGATATTACATTTTCTTCTAATCAAATCTCATTTCACAATACCAATTGAAAAATTCCTACTATAATTAAATGGTCGAAAAATGATTTTTTATTGCATATTTTTTAAAAATTTTATGTGATATTGCATTGAATTGTATTTACTTTTTAAATAAAATATAAAACTTAAAAAGTTTAAAAGAAGTGAAATCATTTCATTAATTTNAAGTTACGTCAGTTTGACAAGAAGTAAACATGCAAATTAAAATATCTTTAAAAACTAAAATTAATTATTTAATATTAATAAAACCATTTGTTTGTAAATTAAAACAGAAGATGGCGCCACTTACTTCCGTAAATTCTACATTTATGGGATCACCCACAATGCTTCCATCACTCTGACGATAGCCCGCGTATTGTATTAATTGACTATTCCAAATGCGATAATCATGCTTCCCGTCTGTTCTTTGAGGGAAAATGGTGATTGCTGATCTAAAAAATACAAATATAATATTTAATTTTTTATTCAAACAACTCTACATTAAGTACTTTATAAACTTTTATACCTTATGTTTCCTTTATTAGTAGCATATCTTATATGAGTGCATATTGCTTCATACATGTCTCTTGCAGTGACTGTGTATCTGGCATCGAATACCTAAATAAATAATGACTAATTCCTTATATAAATACGTTTCATTAGAAAATTTGTCGAATTGTTGCTGTTGTAAATATTCTGGGAGCAAAACCATTTTAAAAAATACATTATTTTGGATATTTTTCATAACTTATTACTTGTAGAAGTTCATTTCAAATACTGAATAAATACATCTATCAAGTTTTAGTTTGTTGTGCTGGAAATATCTAGAACAAGCATTAAATTTATATGCATTTATCATTCAATCATAAAAGCCTAATACCTAATTTCTTTGTAACTTTATGAATTTTCACTATTCTGTATCGCTTGTGTTAAATATTACAAATTATTTGGGAAGATTTCGAGATTTATAAATTGATAGTTTCCTTTGATAAATGAAGTTGTTATTATCTGGATCGAAAACGAAATATGAATAAACTTAATCTCTTATACGAGAAATAATAGGCACATTTCTCGAATGAATATACAGTAAATTAGCTTTGTTTCTATTATAAATCTTTGATATTTTTAAGAAATAAAATTCCTATATATTATAAATAAAGAATGTAAACATTTGACGCGATTTTATTCTAAATTTAATTAGTTTACTTTATTGATGTTTACACAAATTTCTTAGAAGTTTATATTTTTCATAGAATATAAAATATACAACTCGATATTTGATAAAATGTTTTTCTTTATACATTATTTCCTTAAGAAATATTTCAAACACTCGCTTATCTTTAATATCTGCTGATTATTTACATTATTTTTTCATTACTGTATTATCGGATGTTAAATATAGGCTAACTTTAATGAGATTCTTTGTAATTAGTCTATCGTTTTAAATAAATTTATTTGAAATCTGTTTATTATATCTAAGTGAGTATACAAGTGTTACGTAGGCTATAAATCTTATTTTTATTATTGACTGACTTGCATTATTTACCAACCAATTTTACGTAACGCACAATAAGCAACGTTACGTAAAACAACGAACCAACCTACAAACGTTATCTTTATAAATTCCAAGAAGGAGATATCTCAATGCTTATCTATTATTTAAGTAATAAATTTAACTGAATAAACTAAAATAAAAAATATATATATTAGAAAATAACATTCTTTATACGACAGAAAATTATTTCGCTTATTAAATTTTCTTGTTCTTAAAAATCTTTTCACATTCCAGAATTTTAATTACTTCGGAGATAAAATTTTCTATCTTTAATTTGATTAATCGCGACATATAATGATTAATATTGGATTAAACTGGATTAAATACTAATCTCCATTCGTCATCAATCACATTATGATTAATATTCAGGAGCAATGAATTTTCTATAATTATAAACTTTTTGTTATATAATAATTTAGAAACTTAACAGAAAGGAGGGAAAAAAATCATTCCGGAAATCTTAATTTTAATCTCCGGTAATTATGTAGATCTCGATTAAATGTTGTAACTACTTTTGATTGATCTCGAACTAGATAAATCACGATCGCTCCATTGTTCCTAAACATCTATTATTTGAACTTTTTTCTTTTTTTTTTAGCGATAATAAATCTCTGCGTAATTGTTATTAATTTATTTACAAGTAATTTTTATACTTTATTCCTTTTAATTATTCTTAATCAATATTTTAACGTATTTATTAACAATTCGTATGCATTAATTAATTAAATACCTGTAATTTCGACCATTGAATTCGACCGATACATCTTGGAGCATTTCTCCAAGCTAATTTAGCACCATAAACTAATTCAGTTTCTTTTAGCTCGTATGTTCCTCTCTCCGATATTTCAGCTACGACTTCCGAAAGTCTTTGCTTGTGATGAGTCGAATTATATCTGTAAAAAAGTCAAACAGATAACAAAATTAATAACAAATTAAATAGATCTTATTTCTTCATTAAAACTTTATTATCTCCACCTGTTTTAGAGGATAAAATATTCTCTAGTGAACTAAAATTAGATTAAAAACTGTCCCCATAGTCTAAATTTTAGTTTATTTTAAAGTAGAATACGATTTTTTATAACCTGATAATACTTAGAAGTTACGTAAAAATACATAAATTTAGACGAGTGGAGAGATGTTGTATTTATGAATAGGGGTCTAAATCGGAAATATTTTGTTTCTACAATTCAATTATCATATAAACTATTTGGCATTTTATTATTATTCCTCTAAAGCATGTTACTTGTATACAGTTTCAATCTAGTTTCTAGAAAATATGCGGGAAAACGCTTTAAATTGAGAAAACTTTCAGAATGCTGACGATTTCACAAATAAAAATATTTAAATTCCTTTCGTTATTATGAGTTAAAGATACTCGAAGTATCTTACCTCTTAATACTGAGATAGTATTGATCAAAGAATGCTTTAGCTTGTTCGATTACTTCTTCTTTACACCTTGCAGTACCTGGCGGTCTTTTAGAAGGTGTGCTCATTAATGATCCAGCACAAACCGAACTTGTACACTGAACAGGCTGGAAAAATTTTTTTAAATAAATTAAATTTTTATATATTTAAGTAAATTAAAATATTTATTTAAATATCATGTTCTAAATATTTTTATTTTACATTATTTTAAAAAAATATTACTTGAGAATTATTTTATTCTTGACAAAATAAGTGAAAAATTAAACTTTTTAACGAATAAAATTCAATTTTAAGGATATAAAAATTTATATTAATGACATTGTTAACATTCAGAAACAGTTATTGAATATCGTTATTAATTAAAATTGATCGTGTATTAATTGATATAATTAATTAACTTATTATTTTAATGTTTAGAATTTTTTTTCTAATTGACATAAAAATAATCTATTATTATAATTAAACTTTTATAATAACAGATTATTTTTGGATGAGTAACTTTAAATTTCACTTTAAATAGAAAAATAACTCATTAATTATCAATGTTAATTATTTATTTAATAATAATTTATTTAAGAATTGATTCAAAAACTAGAATTTTTTTAGTTCATTAAATGAAATTCCCTACTTGAACTTAACTAATTTACATTATATTATTAATTGTAATTCATCGTTATCGTCACAATTCATCTCTTTTAAGGCCACTTAATCTTATAGAAATTGATATTACAGCATTGATTTAATCGATTGATAGATATGAATCATTATCAATCAATAACATTGATTATTGATCAGGTACATTGAAGTATTTACAGTTAAGACCTATTGAACATTTAATGATTAAATATATAGATTGATTAAACAGTAAAGAACATAACATAATTATCATTACTTGATTAAGATGGTAAAATAAATTAGAATCATTATTGTACAACATAAAATAGTATTATATGACGTGATTCGTAATTGTGCTGGAGGCAGCTGCATGGAATGAGTATTTCAGCTTCAATGTCTATAAAATATATCAGAATAACTTTTACGAAATATCACAGTCGATATTTATGGCACTTTTTGATCTACAAAATAGTCTTACAACATATTAAAATATGTGATTTACAATTAAATAATAGAAAACCCTATAATTATTTTCAAATTTAGTTACGGAAAACTGGTCTAAGCTTTACTTTTTAATTATAATGAGATTCTATAGTAAATAACTAAAAAGTTGTCTTATAGTTTGAACAGTTTCTTCTTGTTTTCGGTTAATGCTGCAAAATTCTATCGGATTAAACCCCGCAAGCACAAGATAAGTAATTTAAAAAAGAAGATAACCATTGTTTTAGAAGAGAAAAACTTAATACTTTTTGAGCTTTATTTACGCTAATTATTCAAACTTTTTTTATATATATTTAAAGAGTTTATATAAACTTTAAAATGTCACCAAGACTATTCTATCTAAAGTTTGTAGATCTAAAGAAAATACTTTTTTTATGTGACTGATTTGCTAATCATTAGCAATACGGCTCGCAAACAATGCTTACACGACACTTCCATTAGTTTTGGAGGTAAAAAAGGGACCGATAACACTCTTATCTTCGGAAGTTTCTTTATTGTAATGTTTAATCTCAAGATATAGGTTGTTAAGTCAACAATATTGGACATATTTCGTCAACGTGACGTTAAAGTTTCTGCAACAAGTAAAAAAAAAAAAAATGTCATTTTTATAGCGTTTTCTTTTTTACATTTTTGTAAATTTTCGCCAAAAATTTCTAATCGAATTTTGCGCCTTAAATGAGAGAAACAGAGGATAAGTGCAGTAAATTATAGTCGCAAACTAAAATATCGTCTACTTATCCAAAATAGTAAACTGTCAAAATGTCATAACTGCATAAATTAACAAGTCAAATGACTTGATATTTATCAGATTCTATTTGCTGCTATAAATTAACACCAGACTCTATAGGCGCAGAATATTTATGAAATTCAGTCGACCAAGTTTTAATGTCGGATAATTAATTTCCTAAAAAGAAAATGTGTTTTTTTTTCTTCCTTTTTGCTAATGGATTATTGCAAAATTTAATGCCGATTTTAACACCTGCAAGCGATAGATTTCTATTGCTTAACTGTACTGTACATTAACTTAATGTTTCGATTTTCAAGGTTATCTTCTCACACTTCAAAGGATCTCGCTTCATTTCTCTTTGAATAATAGACATTGTTGTAAATTTATGGTTTACCTGTCTTAGTGTCTTACAAGTTAGTGGTAATTCAATGAGCAACTTAATTCCATACAGTCGCCTAAGAGTAACATTCATTCTTATAAAAGAAGAACTTCATGTAAGTGTCACTCACTTAACATTTTTAATATATCAATAATAAAAGGTTCTACAACAGAAGAAAACTTCATTCTTTTTAATTATCTCAAAATATATTTGTATAATAAATATTCGATATTATTCAAATTATCTATTTAATGTAAATAAAATTTAAAGAAATTATGTAAGTTTTCTGTTTATAATTATAAAGATACGAATTAATAAATTTAGATAAAGGGAATAATTTATTTGAAACTATAAACGAAAGGCATTAAGTTTTCTTTTTCACATAATCGATAGAAATTGGGAGCATTTCGCGGAAACATTTCTATAATGCTGGAAGATTCAAAATAAAAGCATCCGGTCATTTGACGTGTTTTTATTTCGAACTTCTTCAAAGAAAATTGATATACACGATAATTAATGCTACTTAATGCGATATAAACAGGGGAATACATCTTCCACGCGCTTTAATTATTTAAAATATACGCAATGTAAATAGATAGCACGAATTCTTCAAAAATTTAATTCTTGGATATATTTTGAGTTTATTTCTGAGTTTTTTCTTAGTTTTATTTCGTTTACCAATCGAATGTCAAAATTTCGATCAATATAATTCTTCCACATCCGGAAATCGTTGGCGACAACTTCAAGATGTGCCTAATGGTTCTAATGACTCTCATTTTCCTTTAAATCCCATTTCTTGAATTTTAACTTTGCATTTTGCCTAAAAATCGACAGTGGCTTATGGAAACCAGCGCCTATCTTCATAGGCTAAAATGAATGATATATTTGCTATAATCTTTATAAAAATAATTCATGGTATAATGATTAGTTAGTGTGGAAATCATTGGTTTGTTTAGAGTTTTAACAAATATTATCTTTGATAAGTACTGTACTTCTTATTGAAGTGTAGCCTATAATATACAAATATTCATTATTTTTTAATGCATAGAGTATAAATGATAAATACTAACACATTATATCTCGACATAAAACTTTTCTAATTCAAAAATATTCTTGCATATTAAATGGTTTAGTATGATTATGTTGTAAAAAAAAGATTAAATCTCTTACCATTAAAATTAAAGTCTGGAAGAAATGAAGAAATTACTTAAATGTTAAATTTAGTGGAAATTGGAATCTTAATAAATATGTAATCGATATGTCTACTGAAAAATCATTTGGACTCTATTTTCTCATTTAAATAAACGCTGTATTATAATTAAACACCTTATCGTTAAGTTAATTTAAATGGTTACCAAGTTAAATGTAAAGAAAAAACAAATTAAATATTAAAAAGATAGGGTAGAAAACAAGACTAAAATAAATTATAAATATGAATTAGTCACTTACTTCAGTGCATTTCTGATGTAAAGAATCGAGTATTGTATGACCCGTAGAGATATGTCGTAGGCGAATCGGACGTCTGCACGGAGACGTCATTGTACTGGAAGATTTGGACTCTGGACTGAAAAAAATAAGTTAAATCATCTCTAACACAATCAAATTTATAATGAATTCCAGATAATACTTCATTTACTCGCATCGAACAAATTATATGAGGGGAGAAGTTTGAGTAAAGTTATTAAGTATAACAGGATGTTGTATTTCTTATACTTGTTTAGTAAGATTTCGTTTTCTAAGAAAAAGGCCAATACAATGTTAACACTTATTTTTGTAAGCACAATTTTACGAATAGCTGATGTCATGCTGTTTCAAAAATCATTCCATATACCATACACTTTAATTTATGTATTTATAGAATCAGTTGCGCGAAGTGTTTTTACGTAATTCAGCTAGAAAAATTATCTTAAATTTTCGCTAATTTTAACAATTTAACGCTTCAAAAATTAAATATTAATCGGGATTTAATTAAAAACTTTGAATAATAACGCTAATATTAAATGCCGCATACGTATCTATGAAGTTAAACGGTTTGCAGTAAAATTTTCTTATTAATTGATTATAATATTGAATAGGTAATGCCTACTTTAAAGATATAAATTAATGCTAATATAATAAGTAAATTACGAAGGCCCGATTTAAAATTTTTAACCACCAGAATTATTTTTTACTCAATTTAACATGAAAATAAAAATAAGATTTAAGTAAAAAATACGAAAGATTTTATGGGATTATATAAAACAGAAAACATCTTGAATAATAAAACCGATAAATTGAATTAAGCTCTTTGTATAATCTCATTCTAGAAGTTTTAATTCAATATTTTTTCTTGTTGAAATACTTTTAAATATATTTCTAATGCTATATAATCTCCATAAACTTTTCGTGTTTTTAACTATAGTTTTCGAAAAAAATATTCAGCATAATTTTCAATTTGTATAACGTAAAAAGTAAAATAATATTATCTTATTACTTAACTAATATTTACGAATGAAGACTTTTTACAATAGATTTTATAATTAAAAATCTTCATTCGTAAATTAAATGATTTATGATCAAGATTGAACGTTTATATGAGTACATTTAAAAGTTATTATAGTTAATTTATGCAAATTTCTATTGGTTTAATTTTAGTATATGAGTAATCTACGTTTACGTGTAAACAAGGGTATTTATACAGTTGTTTGGCATATATCTGTGTTCGCAAAACCTCATTATATATTGATTTCAAATTATTTTTCCTTGTAAACTCATTTTAAAAAATTACTAAGAAAAAAAAACTAAATATTTTGGCAAATTATATTAAGAATAATATAAAATTTATCTAAAGGAGATCGTTTGCTTCGTACAGAGTTTTTTTTTTCTTCCATTAAATTTTAAATATAATCAAATTTACTTTTCTACAGCTTAAAATTTTATATTCGTTAAGCTAATTTTTAAAAATAAAAATAGCTATCCTTTGACAAATCTTAAGTATAATTTTCTTGGATCGAATTCCATTTATTTCTGTTTTCTCTTAATGGAAGTGTCTGTCTTAATGGAATATCGCTTAAGTCTATCATTTAACCATTAAGGTATACTTTCCAGGTAAATTTTCATATGAAATTTTCTGAAAAATATATTCATTTGTTTTGCAATCTAAATATTATGTAAACCCATTAAACATAATAATGATAACAATAAATATAGCCTTATATGGCTCTAACGAACTTGAAGAGACTAATTGGGTTAACGTTAGACAAGGTTATGATCTTTAATGATTCATCAATAGACTCTTTTATTCAGAACTAATGCGTTTAATAACATGTCATATAACACGTCACGTGATGGGCACATCATTCGCAGAAAATAACGTGAATAATTGAAAGTAACCTCCCACAAAAAAGACTTTAAAATTCGCGAAATATTGTAAATTTTAATGCGAGAAAACTTTAAAATTCTTCAGAAATATTGTAAATTTTAATGATTAAAATCCATAATTTTTATCGAATATTTGATTTTTGTATTAATATTAATACAAAAAACATAAGTTATGTATATATATTATAATAAGTTAGAACAATAATTGCTTAAACTTTCTTATAATAACTGCTTATGAGTTACTTTAAATTAAAGTAATTTTCTAAAATATTTTGAAATTATTTTGTATTAAACGAATGTTTTGTAAATATGACTTGAGGTGTGAGAGGACGTATAAATAGAGAAATTATATTTAAACAATGATAAATAAACTGAAAGTAGAATTTTAAAACAATAATAATATATCTTATAAAGTAGAAAATCAACTGATTAGAAAGTGAAAATTTTATCCATTTTGAAAAATTTAGTATAAATTTAGGGATTTATTAAATTAACGCTAATTTCTATGACTAAGTTAATCGGTTGTTCAGTTATAAAAATAATATCATCATCAAATTAATTTTCCTTGTGTAAATTTCAAATTTATTTTTTTGTTGGCCGAGTGGATAAAACCACTAAACACTAGTAGTTTGTCGCGGGTTCGTGTCTCACCAACAGGCTGGCCACGTGAAGTTTATCGGCTTTTATTCACATGTCTAACACCTAAATATAGTCCAGTTTGCAGGGAGGCACCCCCTGAGATGATTGTTTTGCCTTTTGTGTTGCTTTGCCTTATCCTACAATCCTTTAACAAATGTTTTATAACTAATACTAGAGGTTTTTATTGCTTTTTCATTCGTCTAAGATTTAATAAAGAGTGCTTTTCAATAGTAATTCAAACGTCTGTATCGTGCATAAAATCTGTTACATTTTATTTTTATATTTGACAACTTAGAAACAATTGTATTAATCTGATTATAAACATGACTTATATTTTAATCTTATTAAACTATATTAAATTTACGATTTAATGCCCAATTGACGATTGTGAATGAATTACAAATATGAATTCCATTTATAAAATTTAATTTTAAATAGAAAATTTTAAATTCCTTCGTAAATGCCGCCTACATACTCCCTTATTATAACTTGAAGCTATACTTCGTATTATAATTCACAGATATTTCTGTGAAATATTAATCGGTGAATTCACGAAATTGGCAATCCTATTATTTTACTTTTTTCTTGGCAGAAAATAAAAAATAATTATGCTGGATCTTTTCCCTTTAGACATATCTCTCGATGGAATACGATTACAAGATAAGAGAGATAAGATATTTTAAATGGTTAATATTTATTAACAATTAAAATATAAGTTATTCAAAGTGATAAATCTTCTCCAAATTACAGTAATGTGAGAAACATAAAAAAAAAATTATAGGAATATTTATTTTTGTTTTAAAATAAAACTTTAAATTTTGTTTCATAAAATATCATAAATTATAAACAACAATTTAAACAATCACTAAAATTGGAGGATTTTGGGGGTTTAACCTCTTCCATTTGACAATTCAAGCAGAGAAAACTTTATTAAAATAATTAATAAAGCAAAATACTTAATATTCCTTATTAAAATGACGAAAAATTTACTTATAATCTTAATAATAAGATATTCATATTCTCTCCATTGTTAAAAATTATAAAAGTTAAGCATAATTATAAAAATTTCGCATAATTTCTCATATTAACAGACCTACATTATTACTTATTTTAAGAATAATTTACTAATAAAATCAAATTTTTTTTTTAGTTTTTAAATAAAATAAACAGACAAAAACTATTTTCTATTTTACTCGATTAAAAAAAAATCATCATTTTAGGTGAATTAATGCATTTTAATGCTTATTAGTTGCAAAGTTCGTAGATCCAACTTGATAAAACTTGAAGTTTTTCGCAATTAGTTGAAAGGTTAAATTTAATCAAAAATTGTTTATTGTACAAGTTTTACATTAAGTTACTTAATTAATTAAATAACCTTAATTTTATATTTTACCATGAAACAAGATAATAATAACAATAATAATAATCGAATAATTTATATCTGCTGATTGAAAATAATAATAAATCGAAGAGAAAAAGTAAAGGAAGATATTAAAATTTATAAATTAATATTGTTTGTATAATTTTAAATTATAAAAGTAATAAGCTAATTAAATTTTTAGGAAATATGATATTTATAATGAAAATTTAATTTATTAGTCCAGCAAAAAAAAAATGAAAAACAAGATTTTTATAGGAAAACAAACTTATAAAATTTCTTCATTAAGCTTATAAATTATCCAATTTACGATAAAAACATACTTTAAAATCATTATTTCATTTTTATTTGGATGAATTTGCTTTAAAATATTTATAAAAACATTACGTTTAAAAGATTCTTAAATGGTAGCTAAATCGACATTTAATGATTTGATCTTGTAGACCCTCATTAATGGTAAAAAGAAGAAGAAGAAGAAGAAAAAAATGATTTATAAAATTTAAGTATGCTTCAAGTTTACTTAATAGATATTTATAAGACTATAATTGGATTTTATTCGATATCTTCTAGCGATATCAGATATCTTTTAGATAATTGAGAAAAATTATGATTTTAAATTTTAATCCACGTAAATATACTCGAGTGGATTAAGCTTCCCGATTCAGCCTAAATTTGGTTAATTTTTATAGCCAGATTTAGGCTAAATTAAGGCTAAATTTCGATATTGGAAGGGATCAGCCGAATAAGACTTAATAAAATTATATTAATTTCGATGTATAATTCGGAATATTCGTTGTAAAACTCTATTTATTGTTGTAAACTATTCGATTATAGTCTTACAACGCAAACTTGCCAAAAAATCTATTGAACTACATGATATTTTCAAACTCATTTTAATTTAATTTTTTTTTCTCATTAAACTACTTTATTTTTCTTTGTAGAAGATATCTAATTTGAAAACTTGCTGTTTTTTTTTTTTTTTTTTCTAAATAAAGAAAACTTTCCTACCTTACCTAGAATTAACAAAGATAAAAACGAGTTTTCTGCTTGGCCGACTTATTTGCGAGAAAATCTTTCTGACACGCTGTTAAGCCCGAGGCCATGACGCGAGTATCACGTGACGGTGAATTAAGCACATGCGCACTACCTCATTGATACGAGTTATTAAAATATAGAGGGAAAAAAGA